ACAACTTTGTGAGGTGACACAATAGATCGGAACCAAACTAACGATTTCATTTATAAACTATCAATTTAACAACGCCGAGGACACATTATTTACTTTCATGATAAGAACAGAATATATTTTCAATGCTTTTGTAATTACTTTATTATATAAAAAAAAATATACACCTATTTATTAAACAATGTCTTTACGTTCCAATCCTATTGCTTTGAAATGTACTGCCAATTGTTGAGTATCAACTGAGTTTTAAGGAATTAAAAAAATAAACGACCTATTAAATAAAATTTGCTTTATTTTACCTAATTAAGAAAGATAATTATAAAGTTTTGATAAAAATTCCCAAATATATAGTCAATCAATAATTTATTCAAAAAATATACCTTGTATCAATGAAATTTCTGTGGATTGGAACACAGTACTCTCCTTTCTCTGATAAAAATAAAAGAGAACCAGAACAAAAATAATTGCTGAAATAATATACCAAGATCAACACAATTTAAATCACTTATTAGAAACTATAACAATAGGAGATAGGTCCAAAATTATATGAACCTATCAAAAGAAAAACTTAAGATCATTAGAAAAATCTTAATAGGACACTGTAAACTAAAATACCACTTTACGAGATTTGGTATATATACGGATCTACTAAGAGAATGAAGAATCAGCCACATATGTGCTGTGAGAGCATGCTGCGCTAATGCACATACTGAATAGACACCTGTGAATGTATACCCTTACGGAAGAGGCAATAAAACTATATAGAGTAGGTTTTTTATTTATTTCTATCAATACAATAGCGCTTAGAAACTTAGTCTAAACCCATAAGGGGGCACAATAGACCCGACGGTCGTAGAGTCACATCCCAAAGCAACAATAATAATAATATCGATTCATATTTTATATACTTATAAATAGTTTAATCTAAAAATGACTTACAGCAATATTTGCTTTATAACTATGCACTTCAGATTATTTTCCAATTATTGAATCATATTAAAATTATTAATTCATTGAACTGAAGCAATGTGTTTTACACCGATCAATAGCTATAAAGTGCTCTATTTTAGAATTTTTTGCTCTAAACTAAAAACATTATTCCAAACTCTAAATTTCAAGTTTTAAGCCACTGAAATGAATTATATTTTAATTGATTCCGAATTTTTTTATTTGTTATGTGTTGTTATGATTTTGCTCTCCAGCTCCATTTATTGAAATGATTCTGTAATACCAACAAATTTGAACTTTATGTATTTCTTAAAAATTCTTGAAACAGCAATGGAGTATACAATGGAGAAATCCAAAGAAGTAATCTAAAATGGAGTTTATTGTCGTAAAATGTTTTCATAACAACTTTGAACTTCATAAAAATCTTTTTTAGTGAGTTTCTGTATACGCCCCTTACCTAGAGGGCACATATTTTGCTTGATTTTAATAATTTTCTGTGAAAGTGATACTGTAGACTTCCGCACAGACAACATAGGCTATTGGTATGCAAAGGCAATATTTTTTTCATCAATCCTCTATGGTATTTCGTAAAAATATAGCTTGACACAAATTCACAAATTCTAGTCATTGACACAAATCCGTTTTAAGAAACTCCTTACCTTATTAACTCAACGGGGTCGGAAGTGTACCGCCATTATTTACTGAATTAAAAAATTCGAAGTTCATATACTTAATATTTATTGGAGTATTTGTCGTGCTACATAGCTAAACCAAAGAATTTCCTAAAATTTTATTTGGGTTAACAAGCTTATATATTCGAATAAAATCACAATTTAAGTATTTGTTCTTATTTGGTAATGTGCTGTTTCCACTCTCGCTGGATCATTAAATCTCCTATTTAACGTTCCTTTTTCCCCATGTGTTTAAACGAATTACGTTATTCTGCTTTAAAGTCAAAAGTTTTGCATCCGTGAATAAATATTGGCCAAAATAATTCACTTAGTTTTTATTCTGTAACCACAAGTCTTCGTATAACATTACTAAACTATGGTTTTAATTATTTCAAATTCTTTATTGTGAAGCTCGGTTTCTAAACCTTTTTTTGTTTCGGTTACTAAAGTTTCTCAGCGAAAGTACACTGACTATAACTATTCTTTGAAAATACTTGACCAATAGTCCAATAGACTTGATGTGTTGTTCCAGTATAACATTTTGCAAAATCTTTCTTCCCTTCATATTTAATACATTTTTTAAAACATTCGATTGAGTTATTTAAGAATACTCTTAACCATTGATTTTATATAAGTTTCCAATGGTCCAGTTTATGGTTCGGTTCACTCGCACTAAAAAGTTAGTATTTCGGGTTTAAAACCGGATCAGTTTTGAACCGGCTTAAAGATCTGGAATAAAACTTATATTTCCTTTATTATTTAAGTGTCTCTGAAAAAATTAATTTTATAGTAGCCTCGTATTTTGGGTTTAAAACCGGAGCAGTTTTGAACCGGCTTAAAGATCTGGAATAAAACTTATATTTTCTTTATTATATGTGTCTCTGAAAAAAATTAGTTTTATAGTACTCTCGTTAAAAACAGTTTGAGTAGATTTGTGTTTTCTCAGAATATGCAAAAAGTCCCCAATTCTAATCACTTTCTTAATATCCTAATTAATGAATGCGTTTCATATAGATAACATCACCAACAGTTATATATACACTCATATCAATCTTTTCAAAAATGTTTATTTAAATAGATAATTATGTTTCCGTAAAAAACTATTAAATTGAAAAATCGTATTAATGCAAATAAAAATTTTACTAGGAAATCTATTTTAAGCCTTTAGGTGTTAACAAATGAATAAGAACTTGTTCGTATGGCAATTACGAAATAACAGCAGTACATAGAATACAAAAATATTTACATAAAGTATGTGGATAAGAATTTCACAATAAGACTTATGACGCCAATATAAATAAATTGATAATTGTTATATACACCCACTGCCGAGTCTCTATAATAGGTGTAATTAAATGAAGAGTTCGTTGTTCTAATCCATGAGTTGAAATACGAAACGTTGGAATAAACACCAGGATAACCGGGCTGAGCGCAGCTATAACCCCACGATACTATGCCACTTAATACATTGTTACATACTAATGGGCCACCCGAGTCACCTTGACAAGAGTCTACTCCACCAGATTGCATAAAACCTGCGCACATCATGCCCGGTTTTATAAGATTGCCATAGTTTGTTGCGCAAACAGTATTGCTGACGATCGGCACTGTTGCACCCATTAATATAGATGATGGATTTTCCTAAAATAAGTTTTTGAAAGTTTATTCAACTAACTTTCTTTTGGTCCACTGTATGAACTTACTGAAGAAACTTTTATCTTTCCCCATCCAGATATAGTACAATAGGTACCTGTAGTTATAGCCAAAGCATTTAATGCAATTGGCGTTACGGTTGGTGAATTTATGGGTATGTAACCATTTATAAAGAACAGCGAAACATCGTCGACCAAAGTAGTGAGATTAAAATTTGGATGTGTTAACACTTCCAAAACGCTATACTGCTGAGTATTTTTTGTACGTTCATAGAGATATATACTGCCCATTACTAACGTAAATTCGCTGGCACTTCGGAATGCTAGAGGAGTTGTGCCTTCACTGTAAAACAAATAATTAATTTTATTTTGTTTAAGATAAAATATGATAAATTACTTTGCCTTCATTTTACTTACATGGCAACGCAGTGTGCAGCTGAAACAATGACACGCTGTGATATCACTGAACCACCACATATGTGACCTGAACCAAAATATATATCATCATTTGCCTTTAGACGAACAGATACTTGCCATGGAGCTTGTGTTATTTCAATAGCTGACCCACCAATTATTTTAGGATCAATTTCCTTACTAACATTAGTCGGTGTTGCTATGAATGAAATTAATAAATTAATTAATTATTTTATTGAAAATTTTTTAAATACTTTTAATTTAATTGTGGTACTTCACATTTTGTTGTGAATGTCACTATTATTTCTGCTTAAGTCAGCTCTGGTGTACCAGACTAAAGCTAACCTATACATAAATGATACCAGAATGTTAATTTTTTTCATACGGATGATAAATGTTTTATTGAGTTTTATAATCAATCACAACCATATATAATTCATAACTCCGAGATATATGGATTTCAATTTCGCAAAGAGCAGAAGAACTAAATTATTTTTACAGATCTAACAAATATAATTTCAAATTTCTAATATTAAATAAGTTTAAAACAACCATATAAATGTCTAAGCTCATACTGTTTGACATTCTCTGACATATTCTGGGTTCGCCAGAATATCTATTGTGTCAGTGTCAAGATTAATCTAGAGTCAAGCATAAGTAAATATGTGCGATTTTCTTTAAATATCTTTAAACCGCCGGCTAGTAATAAAATAGACAATCTTCTCACCAAAACTGCGAATATTTCTTATGGAACCAAACGGGTTTCTAGTTAATTGAGATTTTGATTTCGTTCTACTTCACCTATCTAACTTGTGTGGAAAAATTATAAAAATATTAAAGAGTATTCTCTTCAAATCCTCATACAATATTTCAATTAATAAAGTTAAACCTCATTTGTTTGAAATAATGATTTAGTTCGTATCTGTACTGTTAGTCCATGTTTCGCACTGTTTTTATGCCACATCGACATTTTCAAAACCGTATCTTACGCACAAGTGTTTTTTTAGATAAATTGTGATCAATACCTCTCAATATAAGCCCCGATGTACAGTTTGATTAGGAGCATGTATAAATTCACTATTAAAGTGAAAGACTTGTGTATTACTCGTGAAAGTCGTGATGTTGCTAGGATTCTATGGTATACATTATATACAAAAATATCTATTAGGTTTCAACAAACATGCTGAAACATTCTGGAATACTAATGGTTGGTTGGTTGGAGTGGCGGCCCTGTTTACCAAGAAAAAGCCCACTTAAGCACAAATAATGGCCCGTTGTGGTACCACAAGGAAAGAGCGATGTTCGTATATAGATAAGGTGATCTGTATACGACCAACGACTCCCCCATTAGGTGAAAGAAAACCAGCCCGACAGTTCTATGAATCTAGCTAGGTCCCTCACATTGTAGGATGACAGATCAGTCAGATCGGTCAGAAAAGGGGCCCCCAAGATTTTTGTGGAATACTAATAAAACAGTATTATTGCCTATTGCGATGTTTTTTACCAGTGATGTATTGCCATAATGAAGAGGTTAAATCCATTAATTGCCTTCAATGTATTCGTCTTAGACTAAACTGACTTCAATCTCTAGAATATTCCTGGCCGAATAAAGACAACTAAGGTACGGTTTTCAAATTTTGGTATTTCCTTCTGAAATACATAAACAAATATGACATATTTAGTCATAATGGAAACATTTATTGTAGCTCATCTTATAACTCGCAACGTTAATGCCATGGCATCACTTTATTAGAACCCACCGAGTAGAATTATTCATTAAAAAAGGATGAAAAATGGAGTTATAACGAAGCTTACCTAACCTAAAACTTTTTACGTCCAACCAAATTTCCTATTACTCATAAAATTTTTAGATTTTACACGACTCAGTTGATATTAATACCAGTGACAAAATGGTAAAATTTATAACATTGATGACTCAGTTTGCTTCTAAAAAAGTATCTACCAAATTCGTCTGGATAAAGTTGAAATATCCTTTTTTAATATAACATTTTATACATTATTTAATCGCACACTCGCACATATTATACATAATTTATAAATTTTTTAAAACCCTTGGAGTAATAAAATAATCCGGGCAGAATAAATATCACTCAGCGCGGAGGTTTGAGTTTTTCATGTAAATATGTAGAACAAATCTAAGCTAGTCACATTAGATTACCATAGAGCTACAATAGTTAAACTAACTTAACTTTTGTAATAAGATATCTTGAGAAAGCAGAACTACGTGAGATCCACCAACAGTTACGCTTTGTGAATTCACAAAGTTACGCAGGATATTATACTGTCAGACAGTCCACAAAAATACACCTTAAGAGTATATGATAATAAGCGTGTAATAAAAAACAATTTCGTTTAATTACAAAATTTATTTTATAAGCAAAGAATTATAAAGCATTGTTATAAATAAAATAAGCGTTTACTTCACAAGATTGGCGCTTTATTACACAAAGTTGCACTAAACTCAATGACTATTTACTCACTTGTATAAACAAATATTAAATTGCATATCAATAAAAAAAGAATAGATATTATTATAGAAGAATTCATTTTACACTTAGTAAAAATTATATATCTTCGATAGTTAAAAAGTGAAAAGAAATACTTCCGTTTATTTAGGCAAATATAATTATGTTCGACTTTTGCGAATGAATCAACACTAAGAAATATATTTTCATTCCGTTAACATTAGCAAGTTGCTAGTTAATTGTTAAAAATTTTATCGCATTTAACAAATTTTTATCGTATAAATATATTGAATATTACGATTGATTCAATTAAATTTGTGTTTAAACAAATTTCTTTTATCTTATCAATTACAAAAAGAGTCTATCCTCTACTTAATTCTAATTTAGCGCATATATTTTATGTACATTTGACTAATTTTGTTACTGCAGTTTTGTATAATTTATTTAAATAATTAATTATTATTATAAAACTAATAACAAATTAATATGTTCCACATATATATATAAAAAAAATATTTTTGTACTATAAACAAAAATCAGTAACAATAAATGAACTCATTATTTGGTTTAATAAGAATATTCTTTATATTATATTACAATAAAATTTTATATCAAATATTATAAAACAATATACACATATAGACCATACACAGCATATAAATAGTATTGTAGTCATATGGAGGATATAATTATGTATAATATATATAGTCATATTATATATATTTATCTATAATATATATAAATAATATAATATTTAATATATATGCATATTATATATATACAATTAATGTATACATATATATATAAATTTAATATATATATATTAATTTATAATATGAATTATTTTTAATTTATGTATAATATATATAAAATATATTATAATATATATATAATATTTTAATATTAATTATATATATATATGTATATATATATTTAATATATATATATATTTATATATTATATTATATATAATATATTAATATATATATACTATAATAATATATTATAATAATTAGAATTATATTATATATATATTATTAATATATATATATTATATATATATATATTATCCATATATAATTATATATATATATATTATATTATATATTTATATATATTATATATATTTATATATATATATATTATTTATATATATTATTTAGTATAATATTATATATATATATATTATATACATATTGTTATTATATAATACAAAATAGCATATAAAAAAATAAATTTTCATATAAACTTTAAAGTTGAAATGTATACAAAAATTTGCGTTAAAAGTTATTACATTTATTTAATTTAATTCAATTGACTCATATTGAATTTATACATATATATTTTTTTAAGATTTATATAAATAAATTTTTGTAATAACTTTCAATTTCAAATTTTTTCAAAAATAAATACTTAAACTGTATAATTTAATTATATAGAATATGTATTATATAAAACTAAAATGTATTTATCTTAAACTTTTTTATTTTTATTTAACTCTTCACGTCGCGTTCTGTTTAATTCTTGCAAACGTAGTAAAATGTTTTCAATATCTTTTTGCTTATCCTCATCAGTTGTTTCTTCCGCAGAAGTTGTTGAATTGGAGACCTGAGGTGCTACACGTTTTCGAACAGGTGATTGAACTTGACTGCTTTCATCTTCAGAAAGATATAATGCAGTACTTTCACGTTTTCCAACTTTCTTCCCATTTATTTTTTTATTTAAAGTTCTATTAGGAGTTTTACAATTAAGCACTTCATCAGAAATCTCATCGCTATCAGATTCTGGTAATTTACTTTCAGCAACTTTTCTTCTCTTACGTGGTGTTGATATAACATCTTCTCTTATCTCTGTACTTGATTTTGATTCTTTTGTTTCAACCTGTATGTCCATTGAATTTTGACTAAAACTCTGACTACTTTCGTAATCTAAATTTTGTTTTCGTGATTGTAATTGACGACTTAGTAACTTTTGCTTTCTAGCCATAGCAGTGCGTTTTCTATAAAAAATATAAAATTTAATTTAAAAATTTGAAATTTCATACTTATTATAAATATACGGCGAAAGCTCTGTTAAACAAATTGTCTAATTATGCATATATTTCTTAATTATGCAATTAGACTTTCTGATCCAGCCAGTGTTCGTTTAAGATAATTTTCACAGTATATACTATTTTGTATACAAGCTTACCTATCCTTTGGACTTTTATTTTGCTCTTTTTTGTGAGTTTCACTCTTTTTGGGTGATTCACAGTTTTTAGGTGATTCGCAGTTTTTTTCAACCATTACAACATCAGAGTTTGATACTGCCTCCAGTTCAGTACTGTTTTGTAACTGTTCAATGAAAAGCAACCCAACTGGCTCCAACACCTTTGCTAGTTTATTACACTCGTCATACTTCTTATCAAAGTCATCGAAGTTAAACATTGATGTGGCAACAGTAGCTAAAAATACAAAATATAAATTTAAATAATAAATGTATTCCACAAACCTCAACTAGATTCTGACTAGAATTTATAAATGTAGTCCTCAAATTCTAACTAGATCTTTTGCTAGTTCAATAATCTTTTATAAATACATACACAGGATGTTTTATAACAAATTAACATGCTTTGTATTATTCATATAAAAAAAAGTAAAAAATACTGTGACAATATAAAAATTGGATAATTAAATCATTCCTTACAATGTTAGCTCTAAATTATAGTAAATTATTATTGTGATGCACTTAAAAGCCTCTAAAATATGGATCATATTTCGATGCAGTGTTTAAAACAATCCAAGTAAGTCGATATAAAAAAAGTTTAGAATTTAAGTCAATAAGACTCTCATTCGAAACGGTAAAGAGAGGCACGACATCATAAATAATACAGCTGCAGTAGGAGCACAGAGCAATTGGAAATAAACAAATTATGCCTAACAAGTAACTGTTTAGCACGTGACTATAGCATAAACTAACATAACAGGTTTTGCTGCACGAAAAAGTTGTTAAGTCTATTATATAGCCAACCACACAAAATATAATATATAAATCTATAGAAATTAATATCATAAAAACTTACTTCTCTTTAAAATAGCACCTTCTTTCTTAAACTGCTGAATTTCAACATCTTTACGTGTAACAGCGTCTCTCAACTCAACAATTTGCTCGCTTAAACTGGCAATGGTTTTAAAGAGTGGCACCATCAATGAATATTTATGCTAAAGAGGAAAACATATTAATGACATGCGATTGGAAAATACAACTAAAATAGCTTACCTCCTCTTCAGCTTGCTTTTTGAGATAGAAATTAAAGTTAAATGGACACTTACGTATCATATATTTTAATTTCAAACCTTTCGAATCATCATGCTCATCTAACCAAATTTCATCATCCGGTTGTCGCTGTGTCAATGTGTCACAAACCGTTTTTTCATCAAAGCGTATACGTTTGTTCAACTCCTTTAAAGAAAGTAAACAATAATTTCATAATTATAAATAAATTAATTAATTATTTTAATATTGCTTTTGTCAAACCTTAACGCGATTCATAACTTCAGAGATTTTTAATTTTTCAGCATAAGTCTCATCCATGTTGGTAGCTTTGTATTCCATTGTATCACCATTTACAACACAAAACATTATAAACTGACCATTTTCAGTTTTAATGTTAGCCATGCTGGCTCCAACTAGAAAAGGAATATTAAATTTTTTAAATACATATATATTCCAATTTGTATGTTTTATATGTCTTACCATGAATTATTTTATGTTTTATCCACATTTTTAAATGTATGAATACATTTATTGTTTAGTAAGAAGTAAAATAAATGTCAAAGTGACAAGTGAAAAGTCTGATTGAAGCGAATATTAAGAAATTGCCTTTGGAGCTGGCAGCACTGTTTGTGCTACCGTATGCATACCGTTTGTGCTTGTATGCGGAATTTATATATCAATATAATTTTTAATAATAATAATAATCAAAGCATAATTTATTTGAAATATATATCGACCGAGTTTACTTTATATAGCGTTGTACTATAAAAGCAACAATGGTTTTAACTTCTCTACACTACATCACAAAATACATTCTTATAAGATATTCGTTTTTATTGTATTTTAATAAATGTGTAACATATTTTTTTCAGAAACTACAGGTTATATACACGTATATATGTGAAATCAAAATATATTTGTTAATTAGAAGCTTTCATGTTACGCATTCTGTATTAAAGATTTCATATGTGACAAACATCAGACGAGTTTTAGAGCGAATATTTGACAAAGAATCAAAACAAATTACACAAAAAAAAAATTAAAGTACAGAAATAAATATACAATGTAAAAGTTACCGCGTGAAAATTAATTAGAAAATCATATAATAAATACAATGATAATAATAACAACAACAAAAACAAAAAGAGAATATGTATTTTATAATTTTTATCTTGTTTTGTTTTTGTTATTGTTATTATTATTATTGTATTTATTATATGATTTTCTTATTAATTTTGTAACTTTTATAAATTTTACATTGTATATACGTTACTTTTCCGGAAGATGACTATCGAAGATATTCGAAATATCGGAAACTTTCTTAATAAAATAATTTGTTTTAAATATAAATAATAAATTATAGTTTGTTTTTTATTTAAATGACCAATAAGCCCGCTCTTAAATTATTGTTTAAGAAAATATATTTATTACATTGTTTGTTTGGAATTTTAAACTTTACAATAAAAATTTTTAACAAATATATTTAATAAAGTTAAGTATTTTATCAAAAAAAAAGATAATTAATTACGTTTTATAAGATTGTTGGCATTAATATCGGGCGAAAAATTGATTCCACACAAAGAATTTGTCGCTATACTATTTGGGAGCGTTTTGTTACTTCAAAAGATTTCGCAGATCTGGCAATATTGGCTTAGTTGAATTATGCGAACCGTCAAATCAGAACAAGAGCGTTTGTGAGTAAAGAAGAAAAAGCATGGGTTTTAAAATTATTAAATTTATCTGGCAGAGAAAATCTTATTGGAAATAGATTCATAAATATTCAAAAATGTTGCAATCCAATATAAATAGTTAAACCCTCCATAGCAATAGCAATTATATGAATATCCGATAAATTATTAAATATATAAATATAAAATATATTAAATAATTTAATATATATAATACGAAATTAAATAATATAGCAATAATATTAATTCGCGATACTCGAGTAAATTCTCATAAGAAAGCAAAACATAAATATTTTAATATAATATAGTGTTAATTAAAATAATTTTCAATTTAAGATTATTTAAAATTATTACTTACCTTAAATTTAAATCCTTTTAAAATGTATTGTGCAAAAAAAATATATTTTAACTGATAGCATCAACATATATTTTCTTCAATAAAAACTCTATAACTTGAAATAATGACAAAAATTTTATTTATCAAAGCAAAGTTGATTAATAAAGTATTGAAACATTTTTATTAATGCAATATATAAGCATTTTTTAAATAATTTTCCTAATTAAACTGAATCTCACAAATAACAAATTCCTTAAATGTTGTTATTATCATAAGCCCTATAGTTCCACTGTTACTAGAAAAATTTAGGTCCTTCTCTCTTGCAAAATTGCACAGACAGGACGTAAACCACTCCTGAAATCATTATATATTCTCAGCAGATTTTTTGCTTTTCCTTTCCAGTATTTAAATAAAATTAAATGAACTAATATTGTTTTTCTTACTAAAACGAAAATTTTTTTATTCAAGCAAATTTCAAAAAATAAGATTAAAAAATTAAGATCTTTAATATTTTATTTTCTTTAAAGTACGTAATTTATCTAAATATTATTTGTTTTATACATATAGACTTATAAAGAAATTAACTATTACATAAGTACTTTAAAATATATCATTTAATTTTATTAAATATATTATATACAAAACGAAATTTATTTATTGGAACAGAAACTTTAATTAATTGCTTTATAAAGATAATATTTTAAAACCTATTTTTAAGTTAATATATTTTTTTATTAATTAAATTAATATAGATTTTGAACACAAAACCTTATAAGGAATTTATATTTAATTATTTATGTATTTACATATTTCCCTATATACCTAATATCAAATATTTCTCTTATGGAACAGCAAATAATTAACTATTAAATTAGACTAATGTAAATAAATATTGTTGCAGTAATTATACTTAATACACATGATATCTGTATATAATACGATTATATTTATATATTTAATATTAAAATAAAAATTATACTAGCCTCACACTAGATAATAAGAAAAATACTAAATTGTCTTTACAAGAATGTCTTTTAAATTTTCCATCAGTTTATGTGAATGCATTCATGCGTTAATAATACAGCAAAGTAAACTAAAGAACTATATATAATACTCCTTTTTATAATATCGTCTAGATTTAGATTTGCGGGCGTGCCCATAACTCACTGAGATCTTTCGGACGTATTTTACCAATTTCTGTAAGGGATAAATAATTTAGTTTAGATTATCTATATATAGTAGTTATATTAAAAATAAACGCACCTAACTGCCCCGGCAGCAAAACACCAGAGTCACGCTTTGAAGTTGGCCAAGTAACATCAAATCGAGGCTGTAGTCCTATGGGTGTGGATGTTGCAGCACGAAAAGTTGAATTGCTTAATATAAGAAAAAAGTTATATGAGTACTTTAGAGTATATAAAATATATTAGTATATTTATGTTACCTATATGGATGCTTAAGACAACCGTAGACTTCTCTGTAACGGCCATATAAAGTTCCATAAGAAACACCCAAAATACGTGCAGCTTTTTTCATTTCAAGTCTTTTATTTTTAATCGCATCTAATACCTATAAAATATATGATATGTGAATTATAAAATAAAATATATGAATTATTTGATTAATTATTTTTAAAACTAACGAATCAATTTGTGTCAATGAATCAAGAAAAAAGTCGAACTTTTTATTGAACCAACAAATGTTATAACTCTCTCTTGTTCTTTCTCCCACTCCCTCACTCTCTATGTCTCATTCTCTCACTCTTATTTTGTCTTATTACGTTTCTCCCACTTTCTCTCTCATTTTGTATATATCCCCCTTTATTTTCTCAGTCTTTCATTAATCTTTTTTGTCTCACTTCTAATCGTTCACTTATTATTTCGCCATTTTGATATCTCCTTTTTTTACTATCTCTCCTTTTTACCATCTCTTCCTTTTAATATCTCTCCCTACTTCACTATTTTTATTTATTTTTCTGTCTTTCTTCAATTTTTTCAATTCTTATCTTTTGCTAACTATATTTCTCTTGTCGTCTTTCACTCTTTTACCATCTCTCTCCTTTTCTATCTCTCTGTTTTTCACTCTCTTTCTCTTGCTATCTGTTTTTCTCTCTCTTTATCTTATTGTGTGTTATTATCTCTCTTTCTCTTATTGAGTCTTCTTCTCTCCTTCTCTCTCTTTCACACTATTTCTCATTTCTCTCTCTCTCGTTAACCCCCCCTCTCTCTCAATCCCACAGTCTCTTTCCACACTCACTTTCGCCGTGTCTCAGTTTCCTCTCCCTCTCTTTCACTCTCCTCTCTCTCTCTCTTTTTCCATTCTTATCCTTTATCCCACGGTTTCTTACTAGCCCTAATCTAACACTGTTTTGTTAATTGCTTCGCACACTTTTTCGTATTCACTCCCATTCGCTTTCTACCACTACAAATCTTACATATAATACTAATTAGCAATTATACAACTTCCACTTACCCGTCGAGTAAAAGGTTCTTCCCAAAATTGTGGTCTTCGTCCCTTAGCCAAATAATCATCCATTTTAATAACATCCTGCCATTGTGACATCTCTTCACTCGTAAGACGTAAATCAGCTGCATCGTAATCCTCCATTTTTATATCCATATAATCATCATTCCCATTGGTACCATTACCGCTCGTAGCTACACTAGAACTGCCGCTACCACCTGCACCGGAAGCAGATGAAGTCGGTATGCTTACAGTAGTGGCATGCACAAAATCATGAGTCATTAATATGCCATGTTCATTTAGAAAGTAACCTTCTGGGGCATATTTGCCAAAATGATGCAGAGGTGGTGGTGGTGGTGGAGGAGGAGCACCTGCAACTGTTGTATGTCCATGCTTATGTGTTATATGAGTAGTATTAGAAGTTGAGGAATTTGTGCTTGCTGCTGTACTAGCTGGTGATTGATGTTCCAAAACGTGTTGTACATTTTCAATTTCTTCAACTGGCTGTGGCACTGTCGACGCCTCTTCATTATCTCTTAATGGTAATTCTTTTTCAACAACCAAACGCTTTGGCATACTATCATCACTTATGCGACGTTCACGCTCTTCTTTAGATATTTTTCGTAACTTTCGTTCTTTAGTTGTTCTTTCTTTTTGTTCTGGAGATTTTGATCTATGTTTTTTTTCATGCTTTTCTGTAATTACCTCCTTTTTACGTACATCTTCAACATGTTCTTTTAGATCTTTTATATCCGACATTTCAGTTTTATTACCATTGATTGGCTGTTCACATTCCGCAACATTCACTTCAAGATTACTCGTTATCCATTCGGGATCAGTTTGCTCATTATCATTCTCCAACTCTGCACTATGTAGACGTTGTTGTCGTTGGTTATGATGGTTGTGTTGTTGTTGTATATGTTGTTGATAAGCATTAGCAGATGTTGTAATTGCATTACTTGCAGCTATTGGATGCTTACTTTGTTGCTGTTCATCTGCATACTGACGCGATTCTAGATAAGCTTGATGATCCATGTATTGTGCAATTTTTCGTCTTAAATATCAAAAATGTCGATATAAGAATAAATAAAATTTCAATAGTTTAATAATTTAATAGCTTACATATTAAAAACATCATAGGCGTCATCTAATGGCGGACGTCCACGTTTTCGTTTCGGTCCCAAATGTTCTGGTGAGGCTGTAATTGATACGCTTTGTGCTGATGTGGTCACAGGTGTCGCGTTATGTATTTGTGGGCGTATTTTACAATTAATAGGAGATTCTGATCTATGTTCACGTACATTTTCTCTAATGGGCGATACGTCACGCTCCACATCTTGGCTACACAACTCCAGTGGTCGTGTAGGTGAATGAAATTCAGCTGCAGGTGTGGGTGGCGGTGGCATATCTTCTTCATCTCGCCAAGAGACCTCAGCTAAACCTTTTATTTTGAGATCATCAGCAGTTTTCAAAAGTGAAGCTAATTGTGCCTAAAAAGTATTGTGTTTAGTCATTATAATCTTTGTAATTATCACAATATATATTAATATATTATGTTAATATATATAATAATAATTAATCAAATAACTCACATGTTCTACATTTATTTCTCCTTTATACATAAATTCTATTAGACATTTTACTTCTGCAAATGTAACATCCTTCATTATGATTATGGGATCTCGTTCGCTGGCGTAGTTACTGAGCACGGTGTCAAAAAAGGTACTGCAAGCGCAGAGTACAACACGATGTGCTCTTATCAGCTGTCCTTCACAAGCCAGTGTTACATCGCAAAAACAGCCTCGATCCAGTAATTGTGAAAACATTGTTTGTAGATTACTGTGATGATATCTCCAACGAAGACAATATTGTTGTGGTAACATTTTGCTGCTAAAATAGAAAAGATAAAAGTATTTTAGTATATAATATTAAGTTTTTTAGTCGAATAAATTGGAGATATGTATATGTTTCAATAAAAAGAACACATTTCAATTTTGTTTTATCTTATATATTTAAGATATAAATTTAGATAAATTAAGATAAGATTATCTTATCTATATCATTTATCTTAGATATATGGTATATAGACAAATAGAGAGATTATGTATTTATATTACATGCTAATACATAATAATTGGGTTTAAAGACAAAACTTGCAACACGACCTATGATATCAATATTACTATCCCTAAAAAAACTTCATATTCTTATCTGGATATAGATTAAGGCAATTGATAGACTTTATCACATCCTTTTGAATAAGTTCTCACTTTGTTCTCATAAAGTTAGATTAAAATACTGACCTTTTCTAAAGTTTAGATGACCTAAGGCATCGAAATTTCTTTTAAGGATATGGAGAAACTTTTGGATGAATTTGGTTTTAGTGATACATTATTGGAGAAATTTTAAAGCCACCTGGCAGTACAAATATATATGAATACTGGTTTTTTCTGAGATCATCTCCAGATAAACTTGAATGTCATTCAAGTCTGTCTGAAGTGTGAGAAAGCATTTCCTATTAAAATGTTTACGTTGAAAGCCTGAGATATTGAAGCAAACTTAATGAGAATTATTATGTATATATTATAAAAGCCAATACTAAAATATTGAGTTAGTATATTTTGAGTATATTTATTTTAAGGATTGCATTTTATTTATGAATGTAGAAAATATAATTTAGTTTTGAATGTGAAGCTACGGATATTTATAGAGCATTGAGTAACTACCATTTTCCTAACCCCTAAAATTATGCTATAAACTTTGTGTGGTAGCAATGATTATATGAAAGCACCTAATTTCCTACTTTTACGTAGTACCAAAAATTTATTTATTTATTTATTTATTATGAGTTAAGACTAAAATTAATTTTAAAGTTAACTAAACATAAGTAACTGGACTACTAGGTCCTCAGTCCTCATTCTAAAAATTATATTAAAAAATACTTCCAAAAAGTCTGTATGTATTATTTCAAAATAAAATTATATATTTTTAAATTCATAAGACTTTATAAAAAATTGAATTTAAAAGCAAACAAGGTCCCCAAGGTTTTTGCAAGATATTTATTTGATACATACTATAATACATACTATAATATAATTTCCAAATATATATCTTACAATAAGAGTCCATCTTAATAAAGTTATTCCTTACAAACACTCAACCAATGTTTAATATTAATATATGTTCCAAAAAAATACATTAATTATCACTTTTCATTATAAGAAATAATATTTCATCACTCCTTTCTTACCTCTAACTAGTACACGTCATTTTACTTACTACTTCACAAAATGGTATAAATTAAAATTGTACAAAAAAAAAATACCATAATAAATTTTTGCATTGTTAAAAGTATTAAACTACATATAAAAGATAAATGCACAAGTAAGAAAAATAAAATAAAAACTAAAATGCAAGAAATGTAAAATATACTAAAGTCCCACAAATTGGTATGCCATACATTTTCATTATATCCCCTCCATCAAACCATCCCCAACAATTCTATAACCTTTTCTGTCCATTTGCTTATTTATTCGCTGGACATATAAAAAGGGTTTAGCAGTTAAAAAAATATAAAAAATATATATAGAAAAAAACTAAGGAAAAAAATTAAGGGATAAGAGCAACAAAAAAAAGGTGAAATAAGAAATAAAAAAAAATAAAATATATTTTTCATTTTATAAGAAGAAAAATATTTCAGCAAAAAAATTTAGAAAATTTTCAACATTAATAGAAGCAAGAGTGACCAAAACCACCATAAATGTCTCTCCCCCTTCTCGACATCAACTCCATTACCAGTAGTAGCAGTACTACTATACACGCCTTAGTCCTCTTTTATATGGCAAGAAGTATTTCAACATTCAGCCCAACAAAAATGCTATAGAAAAAGAAAATTTCCAAAAAAAATTTAAGGAAACAAAATAAAGAAAAAATTATACAAAAAATTCTTTTAAAATAAAAAGATTTTAAAGTTATTTAAGAGACAAAATAGAGGTGAGGGTCTCATTAAATTTAAAATTCGCATTATCTTTCAGTACAAAAAAAATTTTTAAAAGGATTTTTATTGTTCTTAAGGGGAACGAAAAATGATTAATGATATCTTAAAGAATAGGTTTAAGATATATCCGCATTATGATCCATAGCAATTCAAACGATTTCAATTTGGTGTTAACTTCGGGAAAGACTATATAATTATTTATTTAGGTTGGTAGTTAAATGAAATTTATAAGTATGATTTTATGAACTCTACATATATAACTTATATACTTATATATATATACTTACTACTAATAGCTACTAGCTACTAGATAAAACCTGTGATAGACTCTTTTAAAGTGCGCTGTTATTTTCTTCTAATTTTTATATTATATATCGTTTTTTCTAAAGCTCACACAAGTTGTAAACATCGATATGCTATAGTTACGATCTTGAAAAATTCGTCTTGCAGCCTTACAACCTGTTAACCCTGTTTGTTTGATAAAAGATTAATCAGTATTAAATAACAAGAACAGTTATTTTGTTTACCAGAAACTTTGATTACTGATGACTCTTAGTAATTTTTTATAGATTTCTTATTTCATAAATCAAAGTTCAATAGTCTATATAACGTGCATATGGTGCATTCAAAAATATTTCGTTGAATATAAACGTTTGGCTCTAATCATCGAATGCTATTGATATCTGGAAGCCCTTCTGATTACAATTCACGTTTTATTTAAAATTATTACACAAATATAATTTGTTTTATTAATTAAGCATATAGGTATAAAGTATTTATCAATTAACACTATAGCAAATAAATATCTTCACAGTGCTATGAAAGTATTTAACTAGACTAATCTATCTTATTGATTCTAATGGCAGAGAGCATTTTTGTAATTTTTGTTTTAAATTAAAAATATATAATTCTGAAAGTATTGACGTTCTTCATATTCATATAGTAAAATTTAGAATAACATGAGAGATAGAGGCAAACAACAAACTGAAATATGGTAGTTTTTTATCACTACACTAAGCAGATCCACACCCCACCGACCAATAAATAGTTTTTAAGTTTCTGTCAAACGTGTTACATACTCATTAAATTCATAAATAAAATCCCTTCTTCAGAATAAGATATTCAAAACATAGAACAAACTCAAAGCAGTTTTTTATCACTAAACTAAACAGATCCACACCCCACCGACCAATAAATAATTTTTGGAGTTCTGTCATAATAGTAATAGATTTCTCCATTAAATCTATAAATAAAATCTCTTCTTCAGAATAAAATATTCAAAACATAGAACAAACTCAGTTACTTTATTCTTATAAAAATAAAATATCATTAGTGTGAAAAAGTTCTCTCGAATTTAATCTTAGTTTTAATAACAGTCATGAGAAAAATAAAAAAACAATATATCCACAACTTCTTAGTGGAAATTTCTTCTATCATGTATTATTTTCTTATAATTATTCTTTGAGGCGCACTATTTAATGTTTAAGTCATATAAAAAATTACTACCCGTAGGTTATTGATTCACAATCGGAAAGGATTATGATAACATACTATCTAATTTCAGTGAATATTTTTTTGTAAGCTCCTTTGACCAAATCAAACTCCCCGTATCTAGGGAAAATAATTTCAAATGTTTTCCCAAGGAAATAACGGTTCATGGGGTTTTGAAAAAGTGCATTTGAGCACAATAGTGAAATGATCACATCTTAGGCTTTGTAAATGGAAGAGACTTAAAGTTAATTGTTATTGATTGTTATGTAGAGCAATGAGTCTATCTAAAAGATAGATAAGTTTGCTGGTGTTAGCACCTTTCATGGTTGGGGTTGTTTTATTCCGTATGTTATGTGAAGCAACAAGTCTTCATCCAAGATGGATAAGTTTGCTGCTCTTAGCATTGTAGTTATTAGTTTACTTTATATGTTATGTGGGGCAATGATACTATCTCCAAGATGGACAGATCTGCTGCTGTTAGCACCTTGGTTTGTTTTCTAATATTTTGTATGTTATGTGGAGCAATAAGTCTATCTATAAGATATATAAGTTTGCTTCTATTAGCACCTTTAGTGGTTGGGGTTGTTTTATTTCATATATTAGGTGAGGCAACAATTCTACTTTTAAGATGGATAAATCTGCTGCTGTTATCACTTTGGGTAGTTTACTTATATTTTATATATTATGTCGGACAACGTGTCTATCTCTAAGAGAGATCACACTGTCGGTGTTCAATATAGAGCATTCAGCTATTATGTGTATATATAAATATGGGTTTGTATTCGTATATTTTTATATTAATTTATGTTTCAAGCTAGTTACTTAATTTTTTTTTATTATTATTAATAATTTCATATTTTAATATGAAATCATTTGTGGATTTATTATGAACAATATTTTTCGTAGCAAATCGAAGTGTATGTTTACACACAGAATGGAATGGACTAAAGGGCAAATGGGTTTTCGCATGGATATTGGAATATTGGCATAATTAAGTTTTTAAATATTTTTTGATAAAAATAAAAATGAATTCAATAACGAAAGAAGAAAAATTGAGATTAAAATTTTTACGTAGCAATAAAAACCTCTTTGAAAATTAAATATATTTCATAAAAGAAAAAAATTAATTTATATGAGTGTATGTATGTGTGTGTATATATCTTCGTATGTATGTAGGAAGCACAATATATGCAGAATATTTATCAACGTAAAAAACGATTAAAATTGCTGGAAAAAACCTTTCACATTTTTAATTTAATTTTTTTTCTTTTACCAGTTATTTTTGTTTTTTTTTTATTTTTATTTTTTTCACTTTTTTATGTTAATGAATTTAACAACACATGCACACACAGTCGCACGGTGTACACACCAGCACATACACAAACATAAGCACATACAATCT